AGGCATGTGTCGGGAGGAGCATTCCACACAGCTTTTTATATCACACCCAGCTCACACCCTGAGTTCCCCCCCCCGCCCTTAGTTCTTGTACCTGCCAATATACATCTTCCCCTTATTGAGCTAATTGCCTCATTAGCCCAACCATTGCCCCCAAGTGTCAATAATCTCCACCATAACAGGTTAATTGCTTCCAAATAAGTCTGTAATCTTCTCTGTTATACAATTACCTAAGTGACCTGGGTGCTAGCTGGCACTCTGTCACATGAAAACCAGGCTTATTTCAGTTTATATTAAATTAGTTAGGTACAGGCTTAAGTAATAAGTCACTCTTAAATTGAAATAAGAATGTCCACACAGGAGTCCGCTTTGGTGTTACTGCACTGGTGCAAGTTAGTGTGTAGACAAGTCCTTATTTTGACATTCCAAATTTCTGAGCAGCTTCAACCAGCCATTATTTTATTTCTAATCAACCTTCCACAGAAATATTTCTTCAAGCTACCAGGCAAATGATTACTACTTGTGGAATTCCTCTCCTTCCCCCCCTCGCTCCAAATTACACTGATCCACGGTGCAGGTCAGGAAATATTCAGTCCTGAGACAAAAACAAGGAGGAATCCTTGTGGCACCTTAGAGACTAACAAACCCATTTATTTGGGCATAAGCTTTTGTGGGCTAGAACCCACTTCATCAGATGCATGAAGTGGAAAATACAGGACCAGGTATAAATACATGAAAGGATGGGAGTTGCCTTACCAAGTGTGAGGTCAGTCTAACGAGACAATTCACTTAACAGCAGGATGCCAAGGGAGGAAAGATAACTTTTGAAGTGGTAATGAGAGTGGTCCATTTCAGACAGTTGACAAGGAGGTGTGAGTAACAGTAGGGGAAAATTAGTATTGGGGAAAATAGGTTTAGGTTTTGTAATGACCCAACCACTCCCAGTCTTTATTCAGGCTTAATCTGATGGTGTCCAGTTTGCAAATTAATTCCAGTTCTGCAGTTTCACGTTGGAGTCTGTTTTTGAAGTTTTTGTTGTTGAACAATTGCTACTTTTAGGTCTGTTATTGAGTGCCCGGAGAGATTGAAATGTTCTCCTACTAGTTTTTGAATGTTATGATTCCTGATGTCAGATTTGTGTCCATTTATTCTTTTGTGTAGAGACTGTCCAGTTTGGCCAATGTACATGGCAGAGTGGCATTGCTGGCACATCAGTGCTGGTCATTCAACTGTCTGAAATGGACCACTTTCATTACCACTTCAAAAGTTATCTTTCCTCCCTTGGTATCCTGCTGTTAAGTGAATTGTCTAGTTAGATTGACCTCACACTTGGTAAGGCAACTCCCATCCTTTCATGTATTTATACCTGCTCCTGTATTTTCCACTTCATGCAGCTGATGAAGTGGGTTCTAGCCCACAAAAGCTTATACCCAAATAAATTTGTTAGACTCTAAGGTGCCACAAGGACTCCTCGTTGTTTTTGCTGATACAGACTAACACGGCTACCACTCTGAGTTCTGAGACAGTGACAGATTTAAGAGTTGCAGTGTACTAGAAACAGAGACAAAGATTTTCAAGGATGACTAATTTGAGACACTTTCAAGGGACCTGATTTTTAAAAAGTGCCAAGTACTGATGTTCTGAAAATCAGGCCCCTTTAAAGTGTCTCAAGTTGGGCATCCAAAAATTGAGGCACTCAAATCACTAATTGCTTGTGAAAGCTTTAGCCAGCAATTTTATACCACTGCAAAGGGGGAGATTCATACCTCTCCAATGAGACCGAAAACATTGACTTCCAGCCCTGGAAAGTCCAAAATAACAGACAAACTCTGTCATTTTTAGATATAGAAAAAAGCTACTGAAGGTGTTTTAATTTTTTTTTCTTGCCCGGAGTTCTATACAGTTTGACTCATGGTCTCCTGGGTACAGATGGAAAAATACAAGCAATAGTACCAATTGTATTTAACTTTTCTAAAAGCTTTATAAAATCATTTTTCTGTAAGAAAATATCATCTACAGAATACACGATGGAGTGGTATAAAGATTTATCAGTACTTTTTGAGTTGCCCAGCACAATTCATTTGTAACTTTTGAGTAATGTGACCAAACCTGTGTGGATAAAAACTTTAGCCCTCACCCCTCTGTCATGGATTGTATTGATTACAAAACTTAAAGCACTTGTTTGAAAATGTGTAGTATTATATTGTATATTCTTTCCTGTCACTCTAAGATGATGCAAAATGATACCTTGTCTTTAGCTCTAGAGTGCAGTGTGTTGTTTTGCTTCACAGCATGGACCATATGGACTTTTGTGTCAGGGCCGCCCAGAGGATTCAGGGGGTCTGGGGTCTTCGGAGGCGGGGGGCCCCCGCCGCTGAATTGCCGCCGAAGACCTGGCGCTTCGGCGGCAGGTCCCGGAGCAGAAGGACCCCCCCCCGCCACCGAAGACCCGGAGCGGAAGAAGCTCCGGGGTCCCGGGCCCCACAAGAGTTTTCCAGGGCCCCCGGAGCGAGTGAAGGACCCCACTCCAGGGGCCCCGAAAGCTCTCGTGGGGGCCCCTGCGGGGCCCGGGGCAAATTGCCCCACTTGCCCCCCACCCTCTGGGCGGCCCTGTTTTGTGTTCATTTCTGGTGTATAATAAGGCCAGTTACTTTGGAAGGAATGGATTTACACACTAACAGGCAGGGAGTAAAGAATTGCTAATATTGGAGAAAAGCATGGTAGCCTTGATGCCTGTTTGCCCACTCATCCCACTTTTTTTCTATACTGCTCACTACAGATCAAACATCTTTCCTGTGATGGAGCATCAGTTCAATATTATCTCCTTATTCAAATCCCTCCTTGAGATCTACTTCTATTGAATACCTTTTTGTGGGTGTTAAAACAAAAGCATTCTTTTTTTTATTTAGATGTTTTTTAAATGCTCCATATGCCAAGAAATCGCTCCACTGTTCTTTGGACTGGGAGATGCTTGTCTTATCTGTATTGTGAATTTGACTTAAACAAGTAACTACTTCTCAGATTTTTTTTTAAACTGAGTTCTTGCCTGCCACATTGAATAATCATGCAATGCCACATTATACATCACAGTTTGCTCAATATCAGATTCCAGAGATGTTGATAACCCATAATGGTCCAAGTGGTTCATTTCAATAATTTCCTTTCACCTATTAGTTCAAGCACATCACATCAAGCCTTTACTATTATTATTACAGTTGAATGAGCTAGCAGAGAAGTCAAAACAAATATCAAGAACTAGATAAAAATAAAAAGTGATAATGCATTCAAGGGATCAATATTTAGAATTGTCAAAAAAAATTGCAACATGTCTCACAATGCTTTAGTAGGTGTACCAGTTCAGTGGCACTATTCAGACATTTGTCATTCTGCCTAAGTTTAATAATCTTCCTGAAGTGAAGGCACTTAACTTGGCAGTAGCTACAAAAGGAATTTAGAACCAGAAGAAATACTATGACAAAAATGCTCAACAATTCACTCCCATTGCAAGTAGGAGACAAAGTTAAAATCCAAACAAAAAGAGGCTGGCAGTTTACCAAGATAATAGATATACCATGCGTGCCAAAGCCACCTGTCATAACTCTCCTTGACAGTGTGTCTTAGAGGAGTAGAAGACATTGAAACAAAAACAAGGACACAGAGGCCAACTGACTTTGCTCTTGTACTGGCAGAACTAACACATGCACCCCCAGTCACTAAGAAAAACACCAGGAACAGAAAAGATGAAGTCCATGTGGCTGATCTACCTGAGCACTGAAGAGTTAAGCTCTAGAAGAGGCTTCTAAGGGAAGTTATGGAAATTCCATCATTGGGGGTTTTTAAGAACAAGTTAGACAAACACCAGTCAGGGATGGTCTATGTATGCTCCTGCCAGCCCCCTTCACTGAGGTTGATGACCTTTCAAGGTCCTTTCCAGCATTTCTATGTGCTTGTGGATAGCCTGTGTTGCTGAGACCTGCTATGTGTCCTAAATGGAGTTTCTTAAGGGCTGATGGCTTCATGCCTGCTCCTCTTCAACACTCCACCCATCCCCATCCCATTCTACTGCAACTACTGCTGCTATGCGTCTGGCTCCTGGAGTGACCTCCCTTTGGGGAGACATTCTTTCTTCCTCATCCCACAGGGCTGTCGGGGAGCGGTCAGGGGACGGTCAGGAGGGTATTCTCTCTCCCCACTAGTGTCCGTGTCCCAGTGTAGAGGGGGTGTCCTAGTTATGTCTCCATCTGCCACCTAAACTGCTGTACATATCAATACATCGAAAGGGGTATTTGAGTTCATTCATGAATATACAGCACCCCTCTCCATGTAAAACAGACACTTAGATCATCCTTTTAATCAGGGAATGAAGTGCAGAAGAAGAGGCAACCCTGAGTTGTGCCCAAAAGATCAAAGAACAAAAGAGGATGATGTCAGCATTTTTTTTTTTTTAAATAAAGGAAGAAGCCCTGTGTGAGGAGACAGATTGAGTGAGACGAAAATCATGCTTCTGGAGAGGGCCAGCCCCAGAAGCAGAGACCCCTGTGAGGAGCAGGGGGAAACAGACAAGAAAAATAACCCAGCTCCTGAGGTAGAAAGTAATATACGCCATTGATTAAAAATGAATGAGCAAAATCCCAATCAGAAGCATGGCAAATTGGTTCCAGCGAGTCAGCCCGAAACAGCAAACAAAGGTGTGTGTGTGGGGGGAGAGAGTGTGGGGCATATGGGAGCAGCGTGGCTCCAGTTAAAATGCAAGGCAAAGTGGTTGTTGGAAGGGCAGGCGTTCAAGCAGGAGTGGTGGGCAAGAGCAAAAAGCTCCATCCGAGCCCGGTGGCTGCGTGGCGGGAGCGTTTGGAATAATTATTAAAATGAGCATGTGTCTGCGCCATCCTGTGGGTGTGGCGCAGAGCAGAGTGTAAACTCCAGCCGGGCGGGAGGAGCGCACGTCGGATTACAGGCAGTGAGGTTGCCCGGCAGAGGAGTGAGGAGGCGACCAAGGCAGCAGCATGGCTTCATCGCAAGGGAAGAGTGAGCTGAAATTCGCAGACTGGATGGCAACTTTGCCAGAAAGCATCTACAGCCTCCCCCTCACCAACCTAGCGATCCCAGGTAGGAGACTGCAGCTAAGCGGGGTGGTCTGTTCCCCCGTTATGTTTATTAAATGCAGATATTAACTAGCATGTGCCAAGGAGAGCCTCATTCGCTGAGAAATGGGGCGAGCTCTTGCATTTCCACCTCTTGCCTCGGTGGGTTGAGGGGTGAAATCTCTAGCGGAGCGCTGCTTGCAAGGCGACTGCTTTTCTGAGCTGTCTTTGTGTGTGTGGAGCCCGGTCTGTCCCCCCTCATTTCCCCCTCGCTTCCCTTCTCCGTGCCCTTATTCCCCCCCATGGTTTTGCAGCTCAGATCCCTGTCCTGCCTCCACCACGGCCATTCACCTCCTTCTTGTTGACATTGAATTGGACGGATCTGTTGATTTCTTTGCCAGACCCTCCCAGAGTCATTAATATTCTTCTCAAGTCTCACTTCAAGAGACAAGGCCCCTCCCTGCGAGAAGAGGCGAGGAAAGTTCGGGGCAGCCACAGCAGCGGCAAAGCTCCTGTTCCCTGCAGGGCTGCTTGACGTGTTGGCACTGGGGTGATCTGGTGCAGATGTGCAAGGGAATCAGCTATTCAGTGAAATGCAGAAGGGTGTGCGTTTGTATGGCTGTGAGAGAGCGAGCCAGCAATTGCTGTGAGCTCGTGTTCTGAGCTTGATGCTTGCATGAAGTATATGTAAAGGTTCCTATATGCAGTCTTGTTGTAGCTATGCTGGTCCCAGGATGTTAGAGAGACAAGGTGGGTCTTTTACTGGACCAGCTTGGGTTTGGTGAGAGAGACAAGCTTCTGAGCTGACACAGAGCTCTTCTTCAGGTCAGTTTGATTGAGGGAAAGAAAGACACTGCATGCTTACCACATTCTTCCATAAAAGATTCACTATGGTTGGAAACTCATGCAGCCCAGGATAGAGGAGAAATTACTTTGTCTTAACTTTTCAAATGACCTGCACAATCTGGAGTGCTAAACTGTTTGGAGATCCTTAATGCATTTCCTTCCCACCCCGTTCCCAACAGATCAATGAACTGTAATTAGCAAAGCATCTCAGCTTTGGAAACTGAAAGAGAACTTATTTAGGACTATTAAAGCAGTATCATTATTGCATCCTCTCTACTGCCAAGGCAATATCAAATGCAGTGTACCAGTTTTGTGAGAGCACGTAAGGGCTTGATAGTATATGGGATGTGCTTGTTCAAAATCCACAAGAGCTGGTAAGAAGTACTGGGCTGTCATTTTATAGGAGCTTTAGTAGGAATATGCCACATTTGCCTGCTTCTGAACTCCCATTGTTCAGTGGGGGTTTGCAGCCAGACAGAGCAAAGGTAAAAATCAGACAGATCTTTGAGAATGCTAATGTGTTCTCTCAATAATTACGTGACTGAAATGGATTGGTGTGGTAGAGTGTTCTGGGGGAAAAGCAATACCACCAAAACAATGACCAAAAAAGCATTGGTATTCAGCAGATGCTAACTGGTGACTATTAAATGCTAATAAATTAATTGTCCTATAAGAATGTTAACAGTTTACTGGGCTGCGACATGTTTATTTGCCAGTTGCATTAGTCTGAATTAAAAAAAAAAAAAACCAATAATCTCTCTCACCCATCTTCTCTGTATTTGAAGCTGTTCTTCAAGTACCTGACCAATGGTTCAACCACAGCCTTTCAATGCCTGTGGCTACTTGTCTTATTAAAGGGCTGCACATGTGGAATAACTGACAAACTAAATTTGCTGCAGCAGAAGATGATAGTCTGCAGGGTGTGTCACTTAACACTGTGCTGCTCATGCTTATAAGATTTCTAAAGAAATAGACTCTTTAGGGATAACACCAGAAATGAGTGCCTTGTGGTTACATGACTACATGATTTTGTATTGACTTGGATGCTTGAAAACCAAATGAGATTAAGCAACTAATGGGTATTCGAAGTGGTATGCATTTCTATTATGAAAGTGATATCACATATAGATATAGCCTGCTTTTGTCAGACATTTCAGTGTAACTTAGCATGTATCCCTCTTTCTTTATATGACATGCAATTAGTTTGCTATACACACATGTTCAAAATGCTCTTGTCAGTCTGATTACAATTTTTGCTTCCTTTCTTTAAAAGATCATGAAAGAATCCCTCTCCTCCCACCTATCCCAGCTAGTATCCCCAACGGACAAACTTTTAAAAACCCACTGCCATTAAAAATGGTGGTGCAGGGGAGGTAAAGGTATTAAAATATATATGGATATGTTGGACTGACTAGTTCTAAATGTCTTCTTCTGTTAGGCCATGTCTACACTACAAAATTATGTCAACTAACTTATGTCAGTTTACAGCCACCATAGCTGTACATTGCTTATGTGTGTGCACGCTTGGCTCCTTGTGTCGGCAGTGCACATCCTCACCAGGAGTGCTTGTAGCAATTGTATCGTCAGAGTGGGGGCATTGTGGGATGGCTCCTAGAGGCCAGTAACAGTTGACATAAGCAATACAGTGTTTACGCTGACACTGTGTTGACAAATTACATCGACCATGACTGTATGCCACTTGGGGAGGTGGTGTTACTAAATTGGTGTAGAGAGGCACTTACGCCAGCGGCAGCCAAATTTAAGTGAAGACACATCCATAGCTAGGTCAACCTAACCCTGTAGTGTAGAGCAGGGGATAGTCTTCTCTAAATGAGTCATTCTGATGCCACAATTACATTGTAAATGGACTGACATAAATTCACTGATTTTAAACACAGCTAAAGAGATGAAATAGTGAAAATTGTAAACAGGGCCGGCTCTAGGCACCAGCAAAACAAGCTGGTGCTTGGGGCGGCACATTTTTAGGGGCGGCATGGCCGGCGCCAGAATGCCGCCCCTAAAAATGTGCCATGGCCGCCCTAGCTCACCTCTGCTGCTGCTGCCTGGGAGGGAGGGGGAGATCCCGAGCAGCCGCGGCGCGCGAAACAGCCGTTTCGTGCGCCGCTGCTCCCCCTCCCTCCCAAGCCTGGGAGGGAGGGGGAGAAGCGGCGCCCGCGCCGCGGCCACTCGGAGTCTTCCCCTTCCTCCCAGACTCTCAAACCTGGGAGGGAGGGAGGGAGGGGGAGATCCCGAGCGGCCGTTTCGTGCGCCGCTGCTCCCCCTCCCTCCCAGGCTTGAGAGCCTGGGGGGAGGGGGAAGGGGCGGAGTTGAGGCGGGGTGGGGTAATTAAAAAACGGGGAGGGGGGGTGGCCAAAATTGTGTTTGCTTTGGGCGGCAAAAATCCTAGAGCCGGCCCTGATTGTAAAGCACTCTGAAAATAGCGCTTCTCTCTATCTAGTACATGAATGGTGGCGAACTACTAAGGAGGTAAACTAGCCTAGTCCGTGCTACTGTTGTGTCTTTCTCTTAAATTATGGTACCTTATTCCATTGCATTGCCTATATACAGACAAGAATACTGGCTGCATAATATTTATCTACTGCTGTATATGGCTGATTCCAAACAAATACATTTTTTGTCTGTATGTGGAGGTAGTTCTCTTACTCATGCAAAGTGAGCAGTATGCACCTTTGTAGGTAAAATGAATTACAAACTCATAGCATTTGACTCTCTCTTACATGCACAAGACCATTTCCTTGAGAAATACCATTTCCTTGGGTTACTTTACCAGAGTAAAAGGGACAATACAAGAGTAAAATGCACTATCACTTAAAATCATGATAAACTACTGGTGTAAAGTAAGCTTGTATTCTAGGAATTTCAAAGGAGCTTAAGAGAGTTAGGTGCACAATTTACATTGAATTTCAATGGATGGCAATTCATTTCTCTGGGCATATCTGAAAATCCCAGTTTTGACTGTGAGTTATGGTGGGCTTGTGTGTGTGTGTGTGTTTTGAGAGAGAGAGAGAGACAGACAGTAAATACCGAGTTTCAATATGTGACTTCAGTTTCTGTAGCATTTCGAAAACATCTCATGTAAAATGTCAGTCTAGTCCCTGAACCGAATAAGGTAAAGAATGATAGCTCACAATGCCTGATTTGCCATGATTACTAAAGCAATTGTTCTCCACCTCCTTCTCTTTTTTTCATCAAAAGATTCTATTTAACAATACACTAAAATGATGCCAAAATTGGTGTCGCAGTCTGAAATGCTAATCAAGTTAGTAAACCTAGATCAACCTGATGGTTCTGGGATTAACGGGAAGCCTGGTTTGTGGGAAGTTTTCTGATATGTCCTTTTGTACTGTACCAGGGCTCTAACAGTCTAATGTAAATTATAATGGCTCTTAGATGTCCCAGTAAACACTTATGATAAATGTCAACATTTCATACCTCATTTCCTGCAAGCCCTAAACACCAGCTGCCGGTGCTATGACATTTGTATCACCAGTCAAAGGTACCTCAAGCTGATATCATTGCAACTGTTGTTTGCTAGTGTCCCTCTGTCTTTTGCTTTTGTTTTTGTTTTTAAACATCATAGTAGTTTTCTTCTTCTTTACAGTTTGTGCCTCTATTTTTGCGGTGTGTTTGCCTGAGTCTCCCACTGTCTTCACAATACAAAATGATTAAATGGCTTACCTTCTGCAGCATTTTTGGTATTGGTGTTAATATCCAGCTATAGGAATCTATGAAGGACCATCGCTAGGTCAGATTGTGCTTGTGTTATAAAAAAAAACTTGCTTATTATTTTTTGTTAATAGCTTTTTATTTAAAAACAAACAAAATGTTGTTGTTGTCAAAGTGTGTTGCGTATAATGACAAATAAGTTAACTTTAAATGTATAGGGACGTTTACAGACCAAATTTCCCTTCAAAATACAGGGCTTGGGGGTTTTTTTTTTAAAGAGATTTTTGTGTCAGTTTTGAGCAGATCATCACATTCATTTATTTCCATACATATTAAATTGCATTTGATACTCATAAAGTGTACTGGTTGCTTGGCTGACATCACTAAGAGCCTTAAGATTTTAATGGGGGCATCTGTGCTAAGAAATTTCATGCCATTTTTCAGCAACTGCAGCTGAAATGGTGCAGTAAAATCAGTACTAATTTTCCTAGT